GGAGAGGTGTTATACAGAGAGAGAGAGAAGGTCTTGATAAATTCTCTATTTTTTTGTAAAAAAGAATTCTCTAATACGTTATATTGGAGCTTCGCTCTAATGAACAAGCTGATTTGAACAATAGCAAATAACATGGTCATGCATCGACGGACTGGTCTGAACTGAAACCAAAAAAAGTTTATGATGAACCAGTTGATTCGTTCTCTCATAATATATAACACATCTAACCCAGCCGCCCATTTACCTTACCCAATGCTGCCAATGTGTGTATGTATATGCTTTATACAAAAGAAATAAAACTTCTCCCTCCGGCCTTGAAGAAACAGGCTATGTAATCTAAGATGAAAAAATATTGCTCGCTCAAAATCGACAACGCTATGTCACTCCTCAGTACCTCCCTCTAACATCATCCCTAATCATCAAAGTCCTCGGCGCAACCCTATCCCTCGACCTCTCCCCCCCCTCCTTTCCACTCTGATCAAAAATAATCGTCCTCCTCCCAGTCTTTAAATCCCTCTTACTCACACAACAACATCCCATTCCAGCATGTACGGCAAACCCCCACACGGTAAAACCAGCAGCCAACCAAGTGAATATCAACATTTTGGTTCCCAACTCCACGTGGATATTCAAATCACTCTGTGCTTCCGCAGCGTACTTGAACGCAACGCTGATGACCGTACCGATAATACTAGCTGATACAGTAAAGAGCGTGACCAAAAACGCCGCGACGGTAAGTGGGAGACTCCACCATTTTGAGCTTGTCGCGAGGGGAGATAAAAGGACGAGCAGAAAAGCAAGAATGCAAGCCGTCAAGAAGAAACCAAACATTATTTGGCTTGTGATTCGGAGGACGGAGAGAATGGTGATTACTTGGGTTGGGAGGGCGATTGTTGCTCCTGCCAAGAGTTCAGACATGAGGATTTCTACGGGGTTGAACCAGTAGAGTGCTTTTGGTTTGGAACAGTATGTTACTCCCCTGTGAGGAAAACATTAGTATGGGGTGGATTGAAGAGGAGGGGAGTGATTTACACGTTGAGATATCCTTCACAAAAATTCCATAGACCAACTTGATAAAAGTCATGCAAGCCGATGCTTTGGGCAATACTGTTGATCAAGCTTGCGTTTGGCACAGACATTGGAATGATATCTGCTAGGTTGAGCTTGAAGAAGTAGATTGATTCGAGAACGGGGGTTCCGGGCGTGTTGCCTATGAGTACTAGGATGAGGAAGATCCAGGCGAGGAGATAGGAGAAAGAAGCGGAAAATGAAAAGTAACGTCTCGTCCTTGTTATTCGCTTCATTGTTGATTTTGGTAGGTTGTATGGTGGTGGGCCTGAAATAGAGGCAGAGGCAGAGATTGTGTTGGCGGTGGTGGTGGCATCTTGATCTGTATAGGAAGCTGGTGAGGTTGGGGTGACGGCGGAGGAGTGTTTTTCTGGTTCGGATGATGGACTTCTTCTTCGGGGTCTGGGTCGAAGAATGGATGGGAGGCCCATTTTTATGTCGTAATGATGTTTGAGACAAGGAAACCGGTTGAAGATTGAGAATCTCAGAAGAGAGAGCGGTCAGATTTTGACTAGTTTTTGTGATGTATGTTTTTCCCTCTCTCTCGGTGATGTGGTCCGGCCAATCAAGAAATATCCCGGGGTATGTTAATTTTTTGGAGCAACGGGCGGTTTTAAACTCCGGGTCTAAAAAGCCATGCGAAACAGGATCGGGTTTTGTTTGTCTACGATTCGCAATTATGTCTTGGATGATGGGGATAAGGAAAAAGGAAACAAGGAAAAGAAGCTGAAGAAGAGAAACCAAAGAACCACCAGAGCTGAGAAAAAAAAAACGAGGAACAACAAGAGTGATGTCGTTTACTTTAACGGAACCTTTCCCAAAAAGGAGCGATAAGATGTTGAAGGAACAGGGGTGGATGCTGAGTCTAGTGTGCAGGGCTGTGCAGTGTGCAGTGTGTGCAGTTTGCTGACGCGCGGAAAGGGAATCCAGTCCGCTGGGGCCGGGGCTTGGCGTTCGTCTTGGAAGCTCCTTGAGATGGAGAATCGATTGGATCTTGAACCCCTGAAATATCAAGAAAAAAGTTGATTGACAAGACTGACAAGACTGACGAGAATCGACAAGAATTCTTTGTAATTCTGTCAGCGGTTATTAATTTATTAATCAACTGATGCCATGACTGCCACGACCCAGGCAGATGTCATCGAGACCCATCTGTCAAAAGGGTTGCAGCTTGTTGCATCGTCTCCTAGCGCGCAATCTGTTTGCATGCTGCTGGCCGCCGATCAAAAAAAAGACTTGGCAACCCACCGGACCAGATGCCGAGAAACGGCCAATCAAAATTTACCCCTTCAACGACGTCATTCTATATCAATGACAAGACTGACAAGAATTGACACTGACACGCTGGCGGTCAACTTTTAGACTGCACCTACCAATTGTTGAGTTTGAATAACCTGGAAGATGAGATGAATAGCGTAAACAATGCTCGTATTTTCACAAGGGAATCGCGGTCAAAATTCCATTGGCAACCGTCAGGGTCGCAACAAAAAACCCCACCAAGATGCGGCAGTGCTTACAAGGATGCACCGAGATACCACCAGTTTCGATATCATTCAGCTTATGGATCCCTGTCAGAAAGAGAGCTTGATCACCACAAACGATCGATTTTAAACTTTTATTTTTCCAACTCTCCTCACCACCATCTTTTTTCAGTCCTCATGTCTTTTGCTGCGACTTGAAGATGGCTCCCCTTGGAAGAAGATTCGGTGCCCTCTTATGGGCCCTTTCGCTCATTACCATAATAAACCCGGTCCACGCCGCCGACGACGATGACAGCACTACCAGCCCACCCCCCTCGGGGTCCGGATCGATATCGGTAGAACCAGACATTACCATCCTAACGGGCACAAAAACTGGACCCGTTCTATCACAGTCCAAAACAGGCACATACCAAACCTTCTCCTCAAGGATAACCCTCGCAACAACCTCACTTCCTACCTCCCTCGGAGTCCTCACAGCAAACTACACAGACACAGAAGAAACCGTAACCTATCTCACCGGCTCCATCACATCTTCCCCAGCAGCAAACGCAACAACCTCAACAACTACCTCCCCTCCGACCCCAACAAACACCCGACCATGCAACAACTACCCCGAGCTGTGCAACCGGAAATACAGCAACATCACCGAAGTAGGCGCTCATAACTCCCCATTTGTCCGCGCCGGCTCTGCAGCAGCCAATCAAGCATTCAACGTAACCGACCAGCTCAACGACGGAATTCGCTTCCTTCAAGCCCAGATGCAATGGCCCGTCAACTCTTCCATCCCTCACTTTTGCCATACCTCATGCGATTTGTTCGACGCAGGGCCAATCACCGACTGGCTTACAAAAGTAAAGGATTGGGTCGCTGTACATCCTTATGACGTCGTTACGATTCTTTTGGGCAACGGAAACTATTCCACTCCAGACTTTTACGTCCCGTATATCGAGCAGTCGGGTATTTTACAATATGTTTACACGCCTCAGGTTATTCCTCCAAGACGGGAAGACTGGCCTACCTTGGCACAAATGATTCTTACCGGACAGAGAGTCGTCATGTTTCTGGATTACATGGCCAATGCGACGGCATATCCTTGGCTGCTGGATGAGTTCTCAGCGATGTGGGAGACTCCGTTTGATCCGGTGGATGATACTTTTCCCTGTGTGGTGCAGAGACCGCCGGATTTGAGCAGGGAGGATGCCGCCAGGAGGTTATATCTGATGAATCATAATTTGAACGTGGAGGTTTCTTTGCTGGGGCAGGCAATATTGGTGCCGGCTGTTAGTAAATTGAATACTACCAATGATTCAAAGGGAAATGGAAGTTTGGGCATGGCTGCTGAACAGTGCAGGCAGGCGTGGGACGGAAGGGCGCCGAATATTTTGAATGTGGATTATTATCATTATGGGAGCTACCCGGGGAGTGTGTTTGAGGTTGCGGCTATGATGAACAATGTCACTTTTAGGAATAGGACATGTTGTGGGAGTTCGAGTGGCGCGATGGGGAGGATAGTGGTTGATAAGGGGTTAGGGGTGATTATTGGGTTATTGGCGATGATGATGATGATGATGGTTTGGTAAATGATGATGGGAGATGGATGGGTGGAAGTTTGTATATAAATGAATTTGTTTTTGAGCATTGCAGTGGCGTTTTTTTCTTCTTTTATTGTTTATTTGAATAGGGGGCGGATACCTCACTGCATTTTAGGATGGTTTAGAGGTTAGAAGATGAGGAAAGATAAAACATGGAAATTTTGGGAGCTGGATATATCCTGCAAAGGAGGAGGAATTTTTTATTTTATTTTTTCGAAGCGTTTAAAATGAGGTATATATTTTTGTCTTGGTATTCTTGTTTGTTTATTGCCGAGAGTTGTGATTACTGTTCAGATGGAGGCTAAGGGGTATAGCAGTTTGTATCTGAGGGGACAACCAAGACCTTGTGTGGCGAGACGATGGAGGCCAAGAAAGAGGGAAATAAGTTATTTGACGGCGCCCAAGGATTCCTAGCAATGAAAATGATCAAGGTAGCGAGTAGTGGTATGGGCTGGAACGTGTGTGTTACTGGCTTTGTCTTTTGGGCAGTTTGTTCTTTTTCTCTTTTGTTGATTTGCCTTGTTGACAAGACATAAGGGAAAAGAAAATCTAGTTTGACTTCCACGACGAATAACGATGTTACGTTTGTCAAGGAGAGTAAGGGAGTAGTTCTTGTTTTTTCTGTGAGTATAGATAGGGATATGTTGGTGAAGGGGAAAAAAAGGTGACAGAGAGTATTAAAGGTAGAACTGTCAGTACCTACGAGGTAGCTATGGTGTTGTGTAATAAGGATATGAAAGTATGATTGGAAATGGTTAAAGAATAACGAACTTGACGAGGTTTAAGGAAAGAGAAATAGAAGAAGCTTGAAGTGATATTGAGGTTGTGCCTGTATAAAAAAAAGGAATAAAAAAAGGATTGTCCTCGGTCGGGTTCGAACCGACGTCTTCCGCTGTCTTAGGTATTCGCTGGAGAAAATCAAACGTTAAGAAAATCAGATGCTAACCACTGCGCTACGAGGACATTTTCGTACCTAATTTTTGGAACTTAAGTACTTCGGGAGAGTCAGAGTTCCTATGAGATTTGTGAGGAGGTTTTCTGGTTGTGGTGGGTTTTGTGGCTTTGATGATGTAAGTGATAGTGGACTGGGTGGTTATCCGATAAGAGGGAGAGGTCGTAGAGGGTTGAGATGAACAGGCAAGTGACAGAAAGGGACAAGAATATGGTTGGAATGGGAATGTGAATGTAAATCAAGGCGTTTAGAAGAGTGTGAGATCGAGGTGGTGAACGAGGATGAAGATGGACGAGTGAAAAGCGTTGAGTTGAGGGATTGGTGGAAGAGAGATGTCAACGATGGAACATTTTTCGGATATTGATTGTAAATTTGTGATTTTCCTTGTCCATTTGGGTTTGAATTAGGTTAATTGAAAAGGTATGAAGGATGGAAGTTGCTATCTTTTGAAACTTTGGAAAGACTTGGCAGGAGCAATTACAAGCTCCGGTTTGGAGAGAAATCATCATTATCCTCTGGATTCCTACATACAAAATAAAGTACAAAGACTTGAAGGCAAGATGAATTCAGGCTTGTTATTCCATCTCTCGATTCGGGGAGAAAGGTCCTCAAGACATGATCTCGTGTATCAACCCGCAAAGACAAATCCCTTCACTCCCCTCCAAGACAAAGTCTCATATCATTGACATCAAAAACCCCTAAAATCACCCAGCCAACCTCTTTTAAAACATAAACATTTTCTACATACAGCAAGATCTTCATTGGGGAAAATGCTTGTTTCTGAATGTCGTCTGCGGGGAATTTCCCACCTTCCGGAAGAATTACCCCACAAAAGATCATGTGGAGTTTGGAGAACCGAGCATCTTCCCCAGACTTTCTTGGCAACTTGTTTTCCCTCGTGAACCGAGCCGAGGTTCATGCAACAACAACAACCATTCGGCTTTGGACAATTAACAAGCAACAAGTTTCCCTTTTTTCCTTTTATTTATTTATTATAGCAACAACACCAAAACAATAACATCACCACTTTCACTATACGCAAACCCAACGAACCCGAAAAAAAAATAGAAAACAAAAATGTCTCAACAACTCACCAAGGCCCAAGTGGCGGAGCACAAGGACGAGGCCAACGGAATCTATATCATTATCGATGATGGCGTTTATGATGTCGCCAGTATGTGATATACTTATAACCCGCCATAGTAAAGTAGCGATACTGACATTATTTCCCCACAGAATTCCTCGACGACCATCCCGGCGGTGCCAAAATCCTCAAGCGCGTAGCTGGCAAGGACGCAACCAAGCAGTTTTGGAAGTACCACAGCAAGCAAGTCATGGAGAAGTACGGTCCCAAGCTCAAGATTGGTACTTTGAAGGAGGAGGCCAAACTATAAAATGTATTGTTGTCTATTTTGGAATTGTGTTGTTGGAAAGCGAAGTAAATAAAGATACCATCAATTTTATAATGATTTGTTGTAACACGTGCGTCCTCCGATAACGATTTCTTTCATTGCCAGGAAATACAATGGATTTTATTTGCTCTTTTTTCACAAAGCACCAACCCGCGCCCACATGCCACCACAACCACACCCCCATTTCCTCCCACACATCGGCAACCCCCATCGATACCCCCACATATCATCAAACCCCCACACTTCATCAAGAAAGGCAATTATAACGTTTAAACTGACGGCAAGATATCAATATTCTCTATCTATCTATCTGAGATGCAGGAAGAAACCTTCTCATCACATATCTGTTTCGCCGTTTTCTTTTTCAGCTCTCATCCGACGTTACACATCCACACACCCCGGATTCCAGCATTCAGCCTCCTTCGTAACCCCTTCGTATTTTAATTTATACTGAACACACACAACTGAACTTCTGGAAGGGTTGTATTCGCAGCGGCTGGCTGGCTACCTGTAACATTCTATCCCGAGTCCCCGATACACTTGTCATACTTGAATCTTATTCTTTTTCTTCGGTGACCGGTCGGTAAAATTTACTTTTCTTTTTACTCTCAAGTGTGTGTGTGCCTTGGTTTTGATGTGGTACACATTTACAGTTTTTCCCCCCCGGATCGGACCGGGTCCCCCACGCAATGGTCTTTTTTGATTCCGGGGAATTTGGGGGTATATGAGCGATATGATAACTGGATAGGATTTTGTTGCTTTGGCAGGTACTGTAGGAATAGGATCACACCTCAGACTCACACATTTTCTACATTTGCGGTAACTTGCCAGGTTATTCCGATGATTCCGGTCCGGTCCGCTGGTGGTCATGATGATAGGAAGTAAGCCGGGGATTATTGACGATGACGATGTCTTCCAGGTTGTCCTTCGATTACCTTTTCTAAAGAAGCGGTCTGGAGAAAAAGACTCACTCTCAGTCCCGCGTCATGAATCAGAGTAGTATTCTACTTCTACCTTGACTTCAATACGAAAGATACGATCAAAGTTTCTCCCCGTTTCCCCGGCGTGACGGCATTTTTGTTCAAACACGAAAAGAGTCTAAGGGAGAAAGGAACTCTTAGTGCCCTTTTTTTTTTTTTTTTTTTTTAAAAAAAAAAAAAAAGAGGAAATCAAGCCGCCACAAATAAAAGACCTGTGAGTCTAGTTGTACATGAGATACTGCTCAGGTACCATACACAGCCACTTTTGTCTTCACATTATAGAACCGGTTCGGCGAGCTAGATTAGGATTCCAGAGCGGAAAACCGAGTCATTCACCTTTTCTGTGTTTCCCTCCCTCTCCGTAATTCGTGTTTGTTTTTACCCCATTCAGAATGTCCGTCTTTTTTTCGCTCCTGCTTGCATTGGTAGCGTCTCTCTCTCTCCCTATCTATCCAGTCCCGTCACATACCGGTATTAGAGTCAATCACTATCACATTTCACACACCACACACCGGTACGGACTACGGCGCACACTGTCACATCTGCACTTGTCACATTTGTACTCCGTATGGAATGGTCACACGCAAACAAATTGAGGGAGAGAAAAATGTTTTTATTATTTCCCGATAAGTGAAGGGAGAATAAAAAGCAAAATAAAACAAAGTTTCCTTTCATCGTGAGATGAACAACTTTCGCCCCTTTGTAAAAATATGATAATGAAAAAAAAGCAAAACCCGCCAAGTATTGGTATCCCCATGATAAAAAAATAAAGCAAATCCCATTTGTTTTTGAATTCCCATTTCCCACAAGCCAGCAGCCCATTCCGCTAGCTTAAATTCCCAGATAATAATTTTAAAATCCCAAGCTCAAAAAATGACTCTCAAAGTCGAATGTGATGATGATTGCTCATCCTTTGTTTGTGTTGTGTGTGTGTGTGTGTGTGTGTGTGTGTGTGTGTGTGTGTGTGTGTGTGTGTGTGTGTGTGTGTGGATATCCCGCCCATCATTTGTATAAAAAAAAAAAAGTTAAAAAAGTAAAAACAATTGTCGTAGTTGTAAAAAAAATGTTTGTTGTACAAGTTTTGAAGAGGAGAAAAGAAAGAACGCCGTTTGCCCAATGTTATTGCTTAGAAAGAAAAAGAAAAGTTGTTCTTGTTATTGTTATCGGAAGCAAGGAGGCCGGCGGCTCTTGGTTGGATAGGACTGGGAGGAGGAGGAGCGGGAACGCTCCAGTCTTTCTCCCTGATATGGTGGTTGGGTGTGACGAGTTGGTTGTTTTTGGATTGGAGGGTTGCGTTGAGGGAAGCAAAGAGGTCTTCTGTGGTGATGTTGAGGCCGCGGGCTCCACGAGGGACCGGGATGGGGATTGGGGAGGCGATCTGAGTTGAAGGCATTTTGATGATAGATGTGACGGTGTGTGGAGTAGATGGTTTGTATGTGTGGGAATAGTGGCAAGCGAAGAGGTGACCAGGCAGGTTGGGTTGGGTTGGTTGGGTGGGTTGAGTGTCGAGGTTTATTAAATATTTGTATCTTCGGAGTTATTTTATTAAGTTGACGGAAGAAAAAACAGAGAGAGGAAGATGGGGAAAAAGAGGGAATATTTCTTGAGACCCAACGGAGTCTTTATGTAGCAGGTCCGGCCAGAGGGACAGAAGGACGAGAGCCAGAGACCGGACAGGGGAGGCACAGGGAATCAGATTTCGTTGAAGAAATTCTTCGGGGCGGCACCAGTGGAATTGGTAGCAATTGTGGAATTCTGGGGAAGGTGGGATGGGACTCCTAGGCTCTCCTGGCGGGGGCACATGTGGTTGTACAGGGTACAAGGTACTTCCAGGTTGGGTTTCTTTTTTTTTTTTTTTCTTCTCTTACGCAAAGGTCCGAGATTTGTCTCTGAAAATGTTGTTCCGCAAGGGAAGGGAGAAGAACACGGCAACTAGCAGAAGAAACTAATGAAGTAATAATTTGAAATGGGCAAACAAACAAACACCAATGATCATCCCTTTCTTTCTTTCCCCAGAAAATGCAAGCAGCATTGCATTGCAGAAAAACATATGTACCCAATACACCCACAGGGCTGGACTGCATTTTTTTGGGGTGTTTAGGACACATTTTTCTTGGGGGCCACCCCTCCCCCCTTGAGTTGCATCAGGCACACCCTCGATGGTGAGATCGGATGGATGGACGGACAAAGTCCCATTGCCGTCCGTTTTTGAACAAGAAGAAGGCACAAAAAAGGTGCAATTTGGCGGTAAACGAAGCCGTGTTGCCACAAATCCTTTCCAGAGCAAACTCAAAAACGGTGCTGGCTTGAGACTGTGCTCTGCCCCGTGGGGCACACTTGGCTTGAAAGGGGCTGGAAAAGTGGGGTGCAGACACGCGGAAATTCCGTCTGGGGATTGTGGGGAAAAATCTCAATTCGTCCAGACAGGGCGACCATGCCAAACTTCAACTGGAGACTTCACACGCCTCGACTCATCATCGCGCGCCTTCCGGTCATCGTTGCACAACTTCCTTCCAAGCTTCCTTTTTTTTTTTTTTCTGAGAAGAAATTGTTGCCTGTTGCGCGGCACTGTTCAAAAACTCACTCATCGTAGCATGTTTTCAATACGGGCCGTTAATC